TGCATCTATATTCATCAGAGATATTGGTCTATAGTTGTCCTTCCTTATCTTGTCCTTATCTATTTTAAGGATAAGGGTGATAGAGGCTTCATAGAATGAATTAGGGAGAGATTAACCCTTTTGGATCTTTAGAAATAACTTGAGCAGAATGGGGGTTAACTCGAAAGTGTTGTAGAATTCAGAAGTGGAGCCCTTAGAACCAGGACTTTTCTTCATTGGGAGGTTATTTACTACAATTCAATCTCCTGGCTTTTTATGGGCCTATTCAGAACTTTCTATATTGTCCTGGCTCAATCTTGGTAGATTATATGTGTCCAGGAATTTATCCACCTCATCCAGATTTTCTTGTTTCTTGGCATATTGTTGTTCATAGTATACTCTAATGATGTTTTGTATTTCTACTCTGTCTGTTGTTCTATTGCCTGCTTCATTGCAGATTTGATTTGCAGAAATTCTCTCTGGTTCCTTTCTCTCTTCTTCTTAATAAGTCTCACTAGTGGTGTATCGATTTTGTTTATCTTTTCAAAGAACCAGCTTTTACTTTCATTTATTTTCTGTATAGTTCATTATTTTCTATTTCATTTATTTCTGCTTGGGTCTTTATTATTTTCTTTCTCCTGGAGTTTTTATTTTTTAATATTTTTTTGCTGTTGTTTTTCAATTCTCTGAGGCATGATGTTAGGTGATCCATTTGCCTTCTTTCTGTATTCTTTTTATGTGCACTAATTGCTATGAACTTCTCCTCTTATGGCTGCTTTTGCAGTGTCCCAAAGATTATGGAAACTCATGTCCTGAATGTCACTGACTTCCATGAATCTTTTGATTTCAGTCTTGATTTCTTCAGTAGTTGTGAAGTCATTCAGTAGTAGGCTATTTAGTTTCTATGTATTTGAGTATTTTTGAGAATTCCTCTTGAAATTAAAATCAAGTTTAATTCCATCATGATCAGAGAAGATGCTGGATATAGTTTCTATGCCTTTGAAGCTGTAGAGGCTTGCCTTGTGCCCTATCATGTGGTCAATCTTCGAAAAGGTTCCATATGGGGGTGAGAAAAAAGTGTTATCTTGTGGCTTTGGGGTGGAAAGTTCTATAGATGTCTGTTTAGTCAATTTGATTTACGGTTTCATTTAGATCTTTTATCTCTTTACCTATTTTTTGTCTAGATGATCTGCCCAGAGGATATTGTGGGGTATTGAGGTCTCCAACAATTAGTGCATTGCTGTCTATCTCTCCTTTTATATCTAACAGTCGTTCCTTCATGTATTTGGGTGCCGGTGTTAGGTGCATATATATTTATAAGCATTATAACTTCTTGACTGATTGACCCTTTTATTACAATGTAATGCCCTTCTTTGTCTCTTCTAACAGTTTTTGTTTTAAAGCCTATCTTGTCAGAAATTAGTATTGTGACTCCAGCTCTTTTTTGGTTCCCATTTGCATGGAAAATCTTTTTCCAACCCTTCACTTTTAGTCTGTGTATGTCTTTATCCATGAGATGTGTTTCTTGTAGGCAACAGATAGAGGGTTTCTATCTATTTATCCATTCAGCCAGTCTGTGTCTCTTGATGAGAGAATTTAATCCATTAACATTCAATGTTACTATTGATATCTCTGGACTTGTCCCTACCTTTAAGTTGGCTATTGTCTTGGTTGTCTTTCATTCCTTTATTTCTGGCTGTTCATTCTTAGTTTTCTTGGAACAGGACTCTTTTCAGAGTTTCTTGAAGAGCTGGTCTGGTGTTGACAAATTCAGGTTTTGTTTGTTTGAGAAGATTTTAATCTTTTTTTTTTCCCATATGAAGGATAATCTTGATGGATATATATAATAATCTTGGTTGGAATGGTTTCTCTCTTAATACTTTCAATATGTCTTCCCATTCTTTCCTTGCTTGCATTGCTTCTGTTGAAAGGTCCGGAGTTAGTCTGATGGGATGACCTTTGTAAGTTACTTCTCATTTCTCTTTTGCCAACTTTAATATCTTGTCTTTATCTGTGGGCTTGGCCAGTCTGGCTAAGATGTGACTTGGAGAAGATCTTCCTGGGTTGATACTATTCGGAGTCCTTTGTATTTCTTGGGTCTGGATGTGTGAGTGCTTTTCTAGACTTAGGAAATTTCCTTCCAAGATTTCATGGAATAGATTTTCCATGCCCTTGTTAGCTTCTTCACCTTCTGCAATACCAATTGTTTGGATGTTTAATGGAGTTTAGTATTTCTCATATATTATCCTCATGATTTTTTGTTATTTTTTTCTGTCTTTTTGGTGTTTTTTACTAGGTCAGAGGTCTTATCTTCTATGTCATAGATTTGATCTTCAGCATGGTCTAATCGACTTTTAATACTTTCAAGAGAGTTTCTGATTTCCTTTAGTACAGACTTTATCTCTAATAGTTCCATCTGATTTTTTCTTTAGTTCATTTCTTCTTTCATATTGTGAAAGGACTTCCTAATCTCCTGTAGCTTGTTGTCTTTTTTCTGTTCCAACTCATAGAATTTTGTTACCATGAATGTTCTAAATTCTTTCTCTGACATTTTGGTAACATCTGCTTTTTTAAGAGATGGAGGGAAGTTATTGTGTTCTTTTGATGAAGACATATTTCCTGATTTATTCGGACCTGAGGCTCTTCTACTTCTAGCCATGGGGAGATATATTCACTATGGGATACTTTTTTGGAGAATGTTTTTTTTGGGAACAAGTGTGCTTCCCTTTTACTGTGGACTGATGTGTCCAAAGTCTCTCTTCTGCTGTATTTTGCAATGTGATCTGCACAGGAGGAATCTTCTATTCAGGAGTCTTGTTGACAGAGAGAAAGTATCTCTGGGGTTAGGTAAACCAGGGCTGGAGCCGGGGCTGGGAGGCCCTGCCTCAGTGTCCCTTAGGCCAGGGGGCTGTAGATGGAAATCTAAAGCTACAGTTGTTAAGTGGCAACTCCTGAGCTTATTCTTCCAACTCACTTAACAATCCAATGTAGCATGGTGGTCATTAATTATATTAATGATAAATTAGAAAATGGACATGTTCCATGCATTACTATTTGTCTAGGAGAGTCCTTTCAACATATTTCTTCCCTTAGGTCATTAGGAAAGTCATGATGTATTTTTCTATGTGTGTGTGTGTGTGTGTGTGTGTGTAAAAATGCATCATGATTCTCCGGATGACCCAACACATTTTCTCTGGAATACGTCCCTTCCTTTCTGAACCACAGCCACACCTTTGATGTAGTGCCTCAAACAGTACATCAGGTTTCTAAAACGTCATGCTCAGATTGCTAGTTTTTATTGTTATTCCCCTCTACAAGAAATATTCAATGGCTCTCCATTATTTCATTAAGGATGTAGTTCACCACCACCACCACCTCCACCGCCCACCCTCGCCATGTTCAGTCCCGGCCACAATCTAATGTTTCAGGCATATATCCTCTTTCCCCTTACACTAATTCTCTTTTGCACTGAACTGTGTTTCCTCTTCAGGATTTTCTATGTTTTTCTGCATCTATCCTTTTGTTTATTCCCTAGACCCATATAGAATGCTTTCCATTTATTTTTACTTAATTCAGTTCTACCTATTTCTATTTCTTTCATGAAGCATTTCCTGAATTCTCAAACCTAGGAATACTCTTCCTCTTCTGAATTCTTGTATAGAACTTGTTGTCTCTATATAATTCAGTCAGTATTGTTTCATGGCATGACATTATTGATCACCTATACTTTTGCTTGTATTGCAAACCTTTTTTAGGCCATGTTTTTGTTTATGTTTTATTGCCTAATACAGTGTTGCCCCACCTAGCTGTAGATTCTCTTTCTGTAAAAAAGAAAGATGTGACCAATTCAGATCCTTTTTACAGCAATTGTTCATCCAAACGCTGGCACTTCTAGTCTTTATGAGGCTTTCCTGCCAGGTCAGGGAATTGCATTAAAGTTTGAGGCAGATGTAAAAGTGAGAAAGTCACTACATGGATGTTCAGAACATTCTTTCTGTTCTGAACATCCAATCTATCATCCTTTCACAGCCTCTTAATCACTGGAATTTTGAAATCTCTTCTTCTAAAGGCCAGCTGTGGCTACGTTTTGAAAATAGGCTACTTTAGAACATATAAGGGGGACCAGCAGTTAGCGTAATGGCTATGCTGCTGGACTCCCATGTAGTCGACCGTTCGCGTCCCTGACCTGGTGGCTTAAATTCACGCGGGGTGCGTGTGCATGCGTGCCCAAGATCCCGAGAGGAGAATGGAGAAGGGATTGCGGCGTGGCCATCACCCCTGGGGGGTGATTTCTCGCTTTCTGTCTGTCTGGCGAGTGCACGTGCCCTATACCAAATACTTCTCAAAAAAAAAAAGAACATACAGAGGATTCAGTTTACTTCGGGAGTTTTAGGAGACCTGTCACCATCTTCTGCTTTGAGGGCCAAGGTTTGTTGTTCCTGGTGTGAGCACCTTCCCACTTTCCAAACCTGGTTATTCTTAAATAATTTAGGAGACAAGTGATAGGAAGGCGCTGATTCTTGGACAAGGAATATGAGGGAGACCACATTCTCAGCATTTTTCTTGATTTGATAGCACTGCACTTTAACAAATTCGAATCCGTGGGAATACAATGGAAAACTGAAGTAGGAAACAAACTTGAGCATGACTTGGCTACAGAATGGTGAGGATGGGTACAGAAAGGTCGCGTACAGAAAGCTTCAAGGACGGTCCAAGAGGAGTTCTTGAGGTGGGCCGTGGAGATATCTCACTCCCACTGCACACAGACACCGCGCGCCGGTCCGCAGTCTGTCACTAGGGAACGCAGGCGCCCGCAAGCAATTGCCCTGGGGAGCGCTCTCTGCCGGAGCCGGGAAACGCAGCCCCGCGGACGCCCGCGGACGCCCTCAGCGGCCTCCCCCAAGTCCTCTGGGCGGGCGGAATCCTGGGACTTGTGGTCCGCCCCGCAGGCTCCCCGCCCAGGCCGGCGCAGAGAGGACTACACTTCCCAGGATGCATCGGGGCAAGGAGCCACCCGGCGGGGAGACAAGGGGCGGTCCCCGCGCTCCCGGGCGTCGCCGTTTCCAAGCGCGGCGTTTTCGCCTAGTAACCCGCCGCCTCGGTTTCCGAAAGCGGCGCTGTGGCCCCGCCCCCGGAGCCCGGCTGGGGGAAGAACCTGTCTCCCGGGGCGCCCGAGTGACGAAGCCCATCCCCGCGTGCGGGAGGCGGGGAGGCGAGAGGAGGGCAGACAGAAGATTTCGCTCGCCGGTGAGGCATCCGGGACGCGCCCGCGGCGCCCGCTGGCAGCAGAGGTTAGAGGCTGAGAGAGCGGGGATGCTCCGCCGGCGAGGCTGGATCAGGAGTGGGAGGAGTGCAGGACACCTCCAGGGCGGCAGTGCGCGCGGGCCAGCGTGTCCCTTGGGGTTGGGATTCCTCAGACCCCGGCGGCTGCCTCCCGGGGGTGTGGGGCTGTGGGTTGGGGGTGTCGCTGTCCCCGGGATCCCGCGGGCGATCACGCCTCCGGGCCGGGTGAAAGAGGGCCCGAGGTCACCCGGGGACCCCGTACTGGCGCATATCTCCCTGGGGGGAGGGGTACACGATTTCTACCACTTGTTAATTATTTAATTTCTCCTGGACGGGGAAGTGTTTGTAGAGAGCGCTCACCTCCCTCCAACTGCACTAGTGCCTGGTTTCTTCCGATTCAGAAAATCTATGACGCTCGCGATTGGAGTTAACTGATTTAGTGAGAGCTGCTAAGGTCTTTATGGTTTTCTCTGTGAAGAGAAGATTAACGGAGGATATGAATTTTAAACGCACGCATGACAACTAATTAGAGCATCTAAACAATAACCATTGCTTATTCACCCTGGCTTAATGAGGAAACAGTAAATGTTCTTTCAAATGCTATCAGCAGCCACCAACCAGTATTTAAGACATATTTAATATCTTTAGGGAGATGACTCTGCAAGGAAAAAGGGGGAGAAATTGAACATTTGAAAAAACAAAAACAACCAAACAAAAACACCAAACTTGGTTTAGTTTGGGGATTATTTTCATGAATTGGATGACTTATACAAAAACATCTTTCTTTCTTCCCCTCTCTCTTACCCTGGATATAGACTGTCAGTTTCGGATCCAAGGACGGCGATGGCAAAGCTTAGCCGGGTTGCCGGTCAAATAAACGCTGTCACAGAATAAATCCTGCTGCCTGCTGCCTTCTGCGAAGCCCCGCGCACTGCAAACTTAAGTGAGCGAACTGGGTAATCAGTGTTTGGATATGCAGATCCCTGATTCAAAAGGCGGGGTGACCCCCCCGAGAACCCCTCCCGGGGGCCAGAGCCCGCAGGTGCAGTGAGGCGTGCGCGCGCGGGTGCTGGCGCGCCCGAAGCCTCCTCGCTCCGGGAGAGGGAGCGG